GGGCGGTGGGACGCACGCGGAGCCACTGCGCGTGCGCAAAGCACCGCCCCGAGCGGCTCCGCCCCGCCCCGCGCGGCTCCGCCCCTTCCCCGCCCTCTTCTCGCGCAGGCGCGTGGATGCCGTCACGTTCCAGCGGACGGGCGGGCGGGGTAGTGGTGACGTCAGTGACGTAACGACGCGGGGCGGGGCGGCGCGGCACGCGTCGGTCGGCAGGGGGCGCGCGGCGCGCGGCGCGCCGGGTATCGGTGTCTATTTGTGACGTCACCCCGGCAGCGGCCACGCCTCTTAAAGCGACAGTGCCCCATCGACCCACACCCCGGAGAGCGCAGGAGGGGAGGGCATGGGGTTGGGATGTCATCGGGGTAGCTGTGAGGTGGGCTCAAGGTCCAGGCCGGGGGTGTATGTGGGTGTATCCCCATTCCAAGCTGCCCGGCCCCGCTGAGGAAGACGCCATCACTTCTTCTAAAACACCAGTTTTTATTAATGAAACAACCAAAAGATGGGGAGGGGGGCGGTGTCCCCTCCAGATCGAGGGGGCGGCAGGGGCCGGGGTCACCAGCCCGGGCGGGACGCGGCGGTGGGGGGGGGCACAGCCATGCCCGGTGCCCCTGCCCACCCCGTCACTCCGGGTCTGGCCGCGCTGGGGTGCCGGGACGCGCGGGGGGGGACACGCTGGTGGCGGAAGGGACCCCCCCGGGAAGGGGGAAGCAAGCGGGGGCCGGGGGGACACGCAGCATGCTGGGGGCACGGGAGGGACACGTCCCTGCGTGGCGGCGGTGGGAGACACAGGGTTGCAGGGGGACCAGCCCTGTGCTGGGTGGGGGGCGAGGACGGGGGAGGGCACCCACATGGCCACCCAAGCCCCTCGCCCACCCCGCGGGGCTTTGTCCCCTCCCCGCTGCAGCCCCGGGGAGCCCTGTCCTTACCTGGGGGTCCCCACAGCACTGCTCCCCCTGCCTGTGTCACTCCTCCGTCGCAGGGACTGTGGGGGCTGCTGTTTTCCCCCTGCGGGGATTGGGGGGGAAGGATGGAGCCCGAAGGGCAGGGTGGGGTCCGGGGACCCTCACTGGCTCAGGGGCCGGGGGGCAGGATGGGGTCCAGGGACCCCCACTGGCTCAGCCTCTCATGAGCCCAGTGCGGGGGGCTGGGTGACAGTGGGGCTCGGGCAGACCCCACGGGGGTCCGGGTGGATTGGGGGTGGCAGGGGGTTGGCCGGTGCCCAGGTGGGTCCTGCCAAGCGCTCGGCTTGAGTCTCCTTGGGAGAGGTGTTCCCAGCCCGTGCCGGGGGCCGGTGGGCACGGGGGGGCCCGGGAGGGGTGGCTGCAGCGCCCAGCTCCACGCTGCCCACACCTAGATGGACACCTCATATTCCCTCGTGTCCTGCAAAGAAAACAGACTGCAAGGGGTTGGACACTCGGCAGTGCAACGGGGTGCCTGGGACAGGGATAGGGCTTCTCCCATCCCATAAGGACCTGGGGGCACATCCCAGACTACAGATAGCCCTGGCGATGTGTGTCCCATTCTGTGCATGGGTCCTGGATCAATGTCCATCCTGTACATGGTCCTTGGATGGATATCCCAGATTGTGTGGTGCCTAGGTGGATGTGCCTAGATTGATATCCCACCCTGCATGTGGTCCCTGGATCCACCCTGTGTGTGGTCCCTAACTGGATGTCCATTCTGGATAGATACATCATCCCCTGAGTGGTCTCTGGTTGCATGTCCCATCCCCTGTGTTGCTCCTAGATGGATGTCCTATCTAATGTATGATTCCTGGAACACATGACCCCGTCCCACGCCTGGCCCAGCCCATGCACAGCCCCTGGCACAGGTGGGCCATGCGATGCAGGGTCCCCAGGGTGCCCAGCCCCAGATGGCAGCACAGGGGGGGTGTGGGGGCCACTACTTACTCCTGTCTCGTAGGTGGGATTGTCAAAAGCCGACTCCACGGTGATATGGTCATACGGGTGGGAGCCAGCGAGGGGCAGCTGCAGCGCTGGCTTCCCCTGAAGCCTGTGGGGAAAGGGCAGCTGGAGTGGGCAGTGGGGGGACCGCGGGGCTCTATGGGGTGACAGGGGCCAGCAGACCACTCACTTGGAGAAATAGAGATAAATGCCCCCGATGAGCAGGGCCACCACCAGCACGGGAAGGAAGACAGCGATGGCAACGTTGGTGCCCTCCAGCGTTGTCCCCGAGGGCACGGCCTTGGCCACAGCTGTCCGGGAGAGTTAGGGGCTCACCCAGGGGACACCCCACGTCCGTCACACCGTGGGTGCCCCTCCACGCTCTGGCACCCCAACACACCCTTGCCCTTACCATCCAGATTACGATTGCTGTAAAACTCATCGTAGGAGGCTGGAGGAGGTGGAAGAAAGAAACCAACACCAGTGGTGAGAAGTGGGGTGCTGAGCTGTGCTGGCGGGGTGCTGGGGTGGGGAGTGGTCATCTCACCCGCCTTGCAGATGGGAGGGGAGCCGCTCCAGCGTGAGGGGTGCCCGGGCAGGCAGCGCAGGTTGCTCTCGCCCAGCAGCGCCCGGCCGGCGGTGCAGGAGAAGTGTAGGGTGGCTCCCGCCGGGTACAGCCGCCGCTCCGGGTTCTGCCGCCCGCCCGCCGGCACGCCGGGGTTGTGGCAGGGCTCGTACGTCTCCGCTGCGAGGCAGTGGTAGGGTGGTATCAGGGCTCACCATCAGCTTGGGGGATATGCCCGGGGAGGGGATGCCCGACTCACGGATGCACTTGGGGAGGCGGTCACTCCACTTGGGTCCCCCCGCAGCGCGGTCATGGCAGGTGAGGGTCCCAGCGCCCGCCAGGACATAGCCCTTGTCACAGATGTACTGCACGGTGCCTCCCACGGGGAATTTAGGGTTGGAGACCACCCTGCGGCTGTGCTCAGCATCCCCAGGGTCCCGGCAGGTTGTCACTGCAGGCAGGAGTGACCGATGGTGAGGGTGGCTGGGGATGCGCTGCAGGGCAGGGGGTTACTGGTGGGCACCACTCACCCCGCTCGCAGGAGGGCAGGTCACCGCTCCATGTCAGGTCCCAGTGACACATCAGGAGGTCAGTGCCGGTCAGCTGGAAGCCGGGGTAGCAATGGAAGGTGACCACAGTGCCGTGGAGAAGCTCTGGCTGTGAGGACGTCTTCCAGCCATTGGCGATGTCCGGCAGCTCAGGGCAAGTATCATTACGGGGGACCTCTGTGGGCATGGAAGGCTGAGCAGGGCATGGGGGACACTGCGGACACCAGGGACACTGTCCCACTGTGGGCCTCACCAGAGAAGTGGATGACAAAGCCCTGCCGATAGGCAAAGGCACCGGCACCAGGGTCAGACTGGAACTGGACGGTGACATCAGCAGTGGAAGCATAGAGCTTGAAGCGGCCACGGGCACCCGTGTACTGGCCCAGGATGCGTGCCGTCAGGTCGTCCCCATCATAGAAAGTCAGCATGTCCCCCGAGCCCAGCCTCAGCCTGGGGAAGTGAGGCTGTGAGGGCTGGGAGTGCACAGATCCACCATCCCACCATCCCCAGCCCATCCCACAACTCACACGCGGACATCCAGCATGATGCGCTTGTCCTCCTCCACGTGCAGCCCCCAGATGCAGTCCTGGCCCTTGCCGTACGCCTCTGGCCAGTTGGGTGACAGCACCACTCCAGCTGTGTCCGTCAGCTCCCCGCTGCACACCGCTGTGGGCATACGCCTGGCTTGGCTCTGCCTTGGGGCACCCGCCACAGCACCCACTGCAGCATCCCACATCCAGCACCCACCATGTCCCTCAGCTCCATCACACACAACAGCACAGTGGCTGCAGCATCCATGCCCCATCCATAATTATCCCTGGCACCCTCCAGCACCAGCACCCACCACGGCACGCTGGTTCTGTCTCATTCCACTGCGGGTCACTGGGGTCGACACACTCGATGATGGTGGAGCCCTGCTCCAGCGTGTAGCCCGGGTCGCAGCTGAACTCCACCGTGGTGCCCACAGGGTACCGAGGATCACTGGCCGTGAAGTTCCCATACTTGACAAAGGGCTCGTAGCAGTGCCCCTGCTCAAAGGCTGTGGGCACAGGGGCAAAGGTCTGCAGGGGCCAGGTGGGGCACAGGGATGTTTGGGTCACCCACTACACCCTTGGCCCCATACCCTCATAGCGCAGCGCCATGCCCGCAGCGGCCCCGCTGCTGTCAGTGGTGAGCTCCACGAAGAAGTGGCGCCCGGTGCTGAGCAGCCCCTCGATGGGCAGGTACTCCACCTCGTAGGAGTCATACACCGGCGGTGCCTCCACGTTGTTGCCATTGCGGATGATGAGCCTGCCGATGACAAGGGACACGGCATGACAAGGGACAAGGGCAGGGTGCAGTGCTGGCCATGGCCAATGGCACCCATGGATGGTAGCCTCCAACCTCAGCCGTTTCCATCCTCGGGCATGGCCAGAGGTTGTCTTCCTTTAATATGGCCAACAACACCAGTCCTTGACTGTGGTTAATGGCCAAAGGTAGCCACAGTTTGCCATGGTGAGCAACATCCATCCTTAAATATGACTAATGGCACCTATCCATGGCAGATCCCATCCTTGGATATAGCCAGGAGCACTCATCCTTGAACATGGCCCCATGAGGGGTGCCCCAGGGTGCCCCCACACCCCTAGCCCCCCTAGTTTGCTCCAGAGCCAAACCTGTCATCGTCCTCTGCCAGTGACACCTTCTCAAAGTGAAGGTGCAGGCGGTGGCCATCCGGCGCTTCCAGCAGCCAGTGGCACGTCAGGTTGTTGCTGTAGTTCCCGGGAAAGCCGGGCGAGACAATTCGTCCCACTGTGGCATTCCGGACCACCCCGCCACACGCCGCTGTGGGAGAGGGACGATCAGTGGGTGACTGTGCCGTGCCGGCTGTCCCGTGTCCCCGTGGTGCCGGTGCTTACCGAGGCAGAGGGGCTCGCGGGCGCTCCAGAAGGGGCGGGTGGCGTTGCGGCAGATGAGCCGGCGGGCGCCCTGCAGTTGGTATCCCGTGGAGCAGCGGAAACGGGCGTCCCCACCAGGATGCAGGCTGCTGACCGAGACCTCCCCGAAAGCCGGCCGTGCCGGGAAGGGGCAGCTCAGCAGGTAGGCTGGGGGCAGGTGGTGGTGTTACCAAGGGTGAGGAGCTGTGGACTCCCTCAGAACCCAGAAACTGCCTCCCCAGACTCTGGGAAATGCCTAGGTGTGGCAGGGCTTGAGTGATACAGTGCCTATGGCTGCCAAGAATTATGCTAAATGATTCCATAACTGCTAAGGCCAATTAGCTCTCCATGAGAGTTCCTCACCCAGTCAGTGCCCGCTTAAAAGACAGATAAACTCCTGGTGCATAAGTTATCACCATGCTGGCAGGGAAGCTCATGGAGGGCGCAGAGGGGTCTGAGCCCCATACCTTGGTAGTGAAAGTGGTAGGAGCCGGGGCTGGGGGGCCGGGGGCTCTGGAAGCGGAGGGTGAGGAGGTTGGCTGGGCTGCGGATGACCTGGCCCCGCAGCAGGAAGGACTCGTTGGCCAGGAGGTTGGGCTCCAGGCCTCCTGCGCTCTCCACCGTCAGCGTCTCCCCTTCTGCCAGGCTGATGTTCTCTACCTGCAGAGGACACAAGTGTCACCACCACAGCATCACGGAGCTGGTCCTTGAGTGGCTTCTCTGTGGTCGATAGCCCACTGGAGCTTGTCTGTGCAGGGCAGCACCTTTCAAACATGGTTAGCAGTGCCATAAATCATCCCCCATGCCAAGAGCAGCAGGGCTCAGCCAGCGGCTCTGCCAGAGCACCACAGCACAGCCAGGCCACACCTGCAGCCCTGCAGACAGCCAGCCTCGCCCTCTGGAGCAATTTGCTATTAATGATGCTAATTAAGCCATGATGCCTGGTGAGGAGCAGCAGCACTGGTGAGTGTGAGCTGGAGAAGGGCTGGTGTTGGAGATGCTGCCTCTGGCTCACCACCAGCTTTCCACAAGCCATGGCACTGCCCTGTGGTGGCTTCAGCAGAGATGGGGACACATGGCCACGTGCCACTGACGGGAGCAGCACACATCCTCAGCACGGCCGGGTTTTTCCTGTCAGCCTCTGCTCCTGGCAGATGGGTGCTGGGTGTTCCCGGCCCTGCAGCACAGCATGGCACCTGCTGCCACTGCTCACACCTTCTCCATCAGGGCTTTGTTAATTAAATCTCGCAACACTTCTTTGTGATGGGTGCCAGCCACAGCAGCTGGTGGGCACAGGGGATCATGGTGCATCCCACCAGCTCATATACCCGTATCTCTGTGCTGGGGCCTGAGGGTAGGCGGTGCCCTGAGCCAGCTCTCTTAGCTTAGGGACACAGGAATGGGGACAAGGACAGGGAAGGCTGTGTGTTTGCTGCGCCCTGCACAGACACGCAGCCGTGGCACAGAGTAGGGAACACGCCACACTTGTCTGCAGGCCCCTTCCACCCTGTCCCACCCTCAGCCCTCAGCTCACCTTGAGCTCCACGCCATAGCCAGGGTAGACAGAGATGGTGTAGGTGCAGTCCAGGCTGCCGTCATAGGGGATACCAACTGGCTCTGGGGACACTAGCCAGCCCTCAGGACCCGCCAGCGTCCGGTTGCAGGGAGCTGGTGACAGAAGAGACCCCAGCTCAGCCCCACGTCACCTCAGCTCCACCTGACTCCCTCCCCGGCGCTCACCTGGCCCCTGCAGTGTGGTGACAGTGGTGGTGGTGATGGTGGAGGTGGTGGTGGTCCCCTCCTCATCCCCAGGCACCACAGTGGCCCCGGTGTAGGGTGCCAGGGATGTGCTGGCAGTGGTGGGTGCCTGGCTGGGGGATGCAGTGCTTGACTCTGGCACCCCAGAGGGGGACCACGAGGGGTCTGCACCTGGCACAGCCCCCCACGCCTCCCCCCATGGCCCGGGGCGCCCTGCTGGCGTGGTCAGCGGGTCAGTGGGGAAGGCGGGCCGGGGCAGGGCAGGGGTGCGGGGTGAGGGCTCGGGCTCTGGGGGGCCGGGGGCCGGCTGGAGGGCACCGGCAGGGAGGAGAGGGCCGGCGCCAGCAGGCAGGAATGGCGCCTGGGCCAGGTAGTCCTTCTTCAGGAAGGCTTCGTGCAGCAGGTCCTCCAGCAGAGGGTGGTGGTTGAGGATCTTGAGCGTGGGCGCCGTGCTCACAAAGCGAGCCTCTGCCTCCCGCTCCGCCGGCGTGGGCAGCGCCGTCGGCTCCACCTCAGCGCTCTCCCCGGTCTTCCTCGCCAGCCCGTTGAAGCCTGGAGGGAGAAAAGAGTGTGGGATTCTGGGGTCCTGTGGACTGCTGGTGTGTTGGGGACTGACAGGGAACAGGTGATGCACTGGGGAGTGATAGTTCAACACTGTGCACCTGGGACCAGAGCGTGGACATGGGCTGATGCTGTATCAGGTATGGATGCAGCTCTGAGGAGTGATGCTGGTGCAGTGCCACAGACCTGTGCTGCACTGGGGACCAGCACTTCCCAGGGCCCAACCCTGCACCACAGACCAGTGCTGCTCCTAAGGCTAACACTTCCCTGCACACCAAAATTCCCCCAAAACCAGGATGGCAAACAAGTGCATCAGCCACATGGCAGCGGGTCCATGACACCCTCTCCCTAGCATACCTTTCACTGGGGCAGCCTTGGCGAATAAGTGCTGGCTGATTAATGCACATCTGCAGCTTGTGCCACGTGAAGGGGTGCCCACTCCTCCTGTGAGCCAGCCCAGATGGGGACAGCCCTGGGATTGGGTGTCCCTGATCACAGATTATCCTTCACAACAGAGGTGGCCATCCCGTGCCAAGGTTCTCCAAGGACTGCATATTCCCAGGGTGCAGACACACAGGTGATTACCATGACTGCCATGACCAACTGTGCCAGGAATGTCACAGAAGACTGGACACTTGGAACCCTCTCCAGGCTGCCAGAGAGCTCAGCTTCTTTCCAGCCAGGCTGTCCCTGAGCAGTGTGAGTCTGTAGGGAACCCCCTACCACATCGATGCTCCCCCCTCTCCCACCCACAATCACAGGGATTCCCTTGTCACAGCCCCGTGTCCCTCCCGGGCATTAGTCCCTGAACAAATCCCCAGCATGCCCAGCCCAGCAGCTTACGGCCTTTAGACCAAAAATAAAAAAGAATTTAATCAGCCCTAATGAGTCACCCAGCATCTCCCACTCCCGGATCTGGCACAGCACCGTCCCCTCTCCTGCTGGGCACAGCTTAGTGCCACGGCAGAGGGGATGCCATGCTGACACCCAGCATCCCTCTGAGACCACGGTAGCGCGTGGGCACGTCTTGCCGCCGTGCACAGGCACTGATGACACGATACTGCCAATTACCGGGTAATTATCCCTATCCGTAGCAGGGCAGGGCCCCGCGAAGATTAATTACTCTGCGACTGCTGCTTTTAAGGGACTATTAAGAGACATTATCTTGGGTGTGCAGCGTAGTGGGGAGCTGCTGGGTGCTGGCAGGCATCCTCACACCGCTGCTACCCACCCCCTGTCCCCACCACCCCCCTGCCATCGCACCGGGACAATGATAATGCCCAGGGCACAGAGGCACAGCCGGGACACCTGCCCGCACCAGCTCTGAGAGATTCGCTTGCCCCCCAGCAAGGCCAGAATTATATTTTAATAGGATCCATTTATTAGAACATAAAAGTTAATGAGTTTATACTGAAGGGCGCCAAAATCTCCGTTAGGCTTTAACAGCAGATTAGTGCTCAGGGCTGGACCCTGCATCACCACCACTGCCCTGTGCAGTGAAGGCTGGGCTAGAGATGCCCACCCAGCCCCCTGGGCACTCCTATCCATGAGCATCTCACCTGCCTGGGATGCTGGGGGGCACTGTGGTCCCCATGGAAGTTATTGGCTAAAGCCAGGCCTCTCAGCAAGGATCCTATCACAGGTCCCATTTGTATATTGAACACCCTGGGCTGGGCAGTGTCTTGGCACTAAGCACTGCCCTGGGCTATGTGTGGTGCTCTGGGTACCACAGGATGCTCTTGGCACCAGGGGATGCTTGGGACTCCTGACTTGGGACTCCTTGCGACTCTCGACAGTCTGGGGATGCAGGAGACTCAGAACACAGTGGGAAGGCAGCAGGTGCCCAGCAGCTGCCACCCATGCCCCATGAACACCACAGTATTAGATCCTCCACCTCCACAGATGTCTCTAAGCAGCTTATCTCCAGTGCCACAGCTATGTCCCTCCCATGTCCCCAAGGTGACCGGGGACTGCTGACGTGGGACTGGCTACCCAGCACACACCCCTCTGGTCGCTGGCACCCAGCAGTGACCCCGCTGAACTCAGGGTGGGCGCAGGGGCTGTCAAGTCCCCAGTAGCCATATGCCAGCATCCCTGGGCATGCTGGCCATAGTCACACCAGCGACGGGGTCCTAATCCCTCCCATTGGCTTTGTCGGGTGGGAGTTTATTAACAGCAGCCGGGAGATGCCAGAGACTAATCCGGCTGTGGTGGGCGGAGGCCCCCCCGGCGGGAATCGATGCTGCCTGCTGTCACAAATAAATAAATAAGGCGGCACGCGGCCGCCCAGGGAGCACCGATCGATGCTGCCCGCCAAGAAAGCAATAACAGAGTGCCCAGCTCAGGGAGGGACCAGGGCAGGGCCCTCGGTGGCCCCAGGAGCATCACAGCGCCGTGTCACAGTGGTGTTCCATGCCTCAGTTTCCCCATCTGTAGGAGAGGAGAGGCGTAGGCAGGCAGGTGCCTGGCACAGGGTGAGGGCAAGGGCTGGGCCTCACAAGATTCTAGGTTTATTTTCTAATTTAAAATCCAATCTGGCTTTGCCCCCGTGGCCAGGGCCAGCAGCTGTGATGAATGAGCTGTCAGGCAGCCGACGCCACGCTCCCCCACTCACAGCCTCCCCATCCCACGGCCTCTAGCCCCCTGAACCACCCCCAACCTCCATAACAGGAACAGGAGAGGGAACACACCCTGTTGATGCCAAATCCCTACGTACCCCCTGCCCTGGTGGCCCTGAGGACCCCAGGGAGAGAACAGGGCTTGTGCTGAAGGCAGAGTGGGCAGGAGCAGGCAGGGAGTACAGGTGGGTGCAGGTGGTGGGTGAGCAGGTGTAGCAGCGTGGGAATTCAGGCATTGTTGGGATGCAGGCAGGGGTGGGCGTGCGCAGGCAGGAGCGCACAGATGGTGCGAGGGTGAAGGCAGGGGCGGGTGGGCACGGGCAGGAGGGTGCAGCCAGCTCCTCTTCCACCCAGCCGTCACCACCGACAAACCACTGGCACCCAGCATGGCGACCTGGCACCTATGCTGGCATCCATGTCCTGTCACCTCCACCCTGGCACCACCAGTGACCCCAGATGCCCACAGCCAAGCTGAGACTGTTAGAGCAGCTGGAGCAGGGACCCAAGGGGCTGCCCTGGTGCCCGGGGACACCACTGGCGAGTGCGGCCGCCAGCCCTGGCAGCTATCGGAGGAGCTCGGCTTTAATATTCATGGCAGCGCTGGCGGGGAAGCGTTTGACCTTGTATGTTTTGCAATTCTCCTTGAATTGAACAGTCATTTACCCGCTGACACATGTCACATCACCGCAACCGGTTCCCTGGAGCATCGCGGCGGCCGAGCGCCGGCTGACACACCGAGCACCACCGACACCGGCTGGGCATGAGGGCAGAACCCAGCGGGCAGCTGGGTGCCCATTCCGGGGGCTTCCCTCCCTTCCCACCTTCTGGATGCCACTGGTGCCCTTGTCCCCTCCTCGCCACCCACAGCCCATGTAATCCCCTTCCCCACTCTCCCTGCGGAGCTAATGGGTTTCTACAGCAATTTCCCTGCGTGGCAGCAGCGGTGATAAATTGTACGTCTGCTGCTATTTCAGACCCAAGCACTGTGCAGTGCCATGTCCCCCCTCCTTGGGCTGACAGCACCCAAATCAGCCCCTCCCCCCAGATTTCCTGTGAGGAATACCCCACTGCTGGGCAGCACCCACTCTGTGCCACCCCACAGGAGCCGTGATGTAGGTGCCAGGCCCCCATGGGGCTCTGTGCAAACTCTGGTCTCCCCCAGGACCCAGCACACCTCACCCCTCTGGATGGCAGAGGGGCACCCAGCCCTCGGGGCACCCCTCGGTGCTGGGGGTGCCTGCGCAGAGTGGGCAGGAGTCAGGCAGGGTGAGCAGAGCCACGCTGCCCACCCAGCTCCCGTCTCCCCTTCCCTCCGCCCACTGCCAGAGACAGTAATTGAAATCGGTTGCGGGAGGCGAGCGAGAGCTGCTTGTCGGGCTCCGCGTTGGGCTGCTCAGCCATGTCATACTTCCTGCAGACACCATTCCCTCCCATCGCCGCCTGCTCCTGCCAGAGCCAGTATTTCAGCTGCCCCCAGAACTCTGTCTTTTCCGCCAGCCCCACATCCTGCCCCAGTGCCGCTTTTCTTAGAGGATGAACCATCCAGTTCTGGAAGCCGCTGAGGGCTGATTTTACAGCCAACATTTCGTCTTGCTTCCACCCCCCAGGGCATCTGTGGACCACCAGAGCCTGCCCTGCCCAAGCATCACCTCGCTCATCGCCCACCACTGGCTGATCTGGCATTTCAAGCACCTCTCTCCATTTTCACAGGGTCAGAGCAGCGCTCTTGCAGCTGATTAATATTTGATCCCTTCAGCACAGCTCGTTACTGCATTTAAATTATATATGTAATAATTCCTACTGGCACAGCGAGCGTGCAGGCTGGCTCCTGCTGCTTCTCCTGCAGGCTGGGGGCCGAGCAGATCCCCAGCCTTGGCCAATGGGACCCCCTGGCACCTCCTAGGATGTGATGAGCAGTGCCAGGTCTCAGCAGAGGGCAGGCAGGCTGGCAGCGAGCCAGGCAGATAAAGGCATTCCCAGCTGCCTCTAAGGGGTCCAGGCAGCCCGTTCACCCACACAAGGATGCTCATGGAGGGAGCAGTGCTGGTCCTCCAGTTGTCCCCATCTCCCCAGCAGCAGGAGGAAGGGATGCTGCCACTCCCGAGCTCCTGCCTGCAACTGGAGGGAATCCATTACCTCCCTGGTTATAGGCAGCTTTCAGAGGCAATCTTTCAATTGTGCGCATTTAAAGAATTGATTGGAGGCGAAATTATCCTCTCCCGTCAGAGCCGCTGGAGACACAACTTCATCCACCTCCCCCGGGGACTGTTGGTGCTCCCAGGAGACCCCGCAGCCAGGGTCAGCCTCAGCCCCCACCCCGGCAGGGGCTGCACACAGGGAGCGACAACCCCACGAGCCCACGCCAGCCTGGGGGTCCCACCAGCAGCACAGAGTCGGGGGGTTCTCTCCTGCTCCAAACCACGCCTGGGGGTGCCCTTGTCATGCCCTTGCCCAAGCTTCTTTGCACCCCATTTTTGCCCACATTCCCACTGCTCTGACTCTGCCTGGCAGCCCTGCCTGGCACAGCACCCTGCGCTGAATTCATCCCCGCCACTGCAAACCCTCAGACGATCCCTGCGGCAATCAGGCTCCCGGGCAATGCTGGGGGGTGCTTGGCTCAGCCTGAGCCCCACATCCCCGCGGGACAGCCCTGCCCTCCCGCTCCCTGGCTTAAGAGTATTATCCAGATAATCCTGGCCTGGCGGCACGGCAGCGTGGCGGTGACGAACTCCTCCGAGGCACGCAGGGCACGAGCACACGCGCCGTTAATTACTGGAGCAGGAGCCTGCCTCCTTCCCCAGCCCCCTCCTCACACCCACATCCCCAGGGGCACCGTGTCCCCCAAATACATCACCCCTATGGGCACAGTGCATCTGGCTGATGCTGGATGCCGTGGCACAGCTCATGGGGGTACAGCCAGGCCCTGTGCCCCCTGCCACAGCCTGTGCTGCTTCCTAATGCCTCAGGCTGCCAGGACCCCAAATTACAAGGAGCTCCCTTCAGTGTGGCTAAGACGACTCCCAGAAAAATGCCTGGCCAGCCATGGCCCTGGAGAGCTGGGGAAAGGGGCTGCAGTGGGGCAGGGTTGCTGGAGCTGTGCTTGGCACCGTCCTCTTTGGCTGCACCAATGCCATGGGGTCCAGACCCCACTTTCTGCTGGGGCAAATCCCTGTGGACACCAGGGGCTGGTGGTGCCCCACAGCTGGCATAGGAGAGAGACAGGATCAGACCCAGCATTGCCCCCACTCACTTGGTGACCACATCACCAAGCTCCCCGACCTGGAGGAGGGGTCCACAACTCTCTGACCCCATGTCCCTCAGACCCATGGCTCATCTCCATAATGCACCAGCCCATTGATGCCAAGTCAAGGCCGCAGTGACACTGAGCATGGCAATGCTGCATGGAGCCCTGGGTGCTGCCTGGGAGCCCTGCCTGATGGAGGATGGGGAGTTTGAGGCACGAGCCACACAGTACGTGATGAAGAGATACAGGGTGGACAGGACCCCATGGGTCCCAGCCCTGGGAAAAGCTCAGCACCTCTCAGGGCATCCCTACTTTTAAGACTCTGGGAAATACACATGCAGTGTTTAATTAACTTTATTGATATTCAGAAATTAGGGGACTGACTAGAGGTAATTGCTCATTAGAAATCATTAAACTGACACAGTAAGCACCAGCCTCCCTTGGGGGGAATCTGCCCTGCTCAGCACCCTGCTCCCAGGACAGAGCCAGCGACATGGACCCCCCATTCCAGTTCTGCTGCCCTTCTGGCAGGGCAGAAGATGGGGGTGCCATGGCATTGCCCCACTTGCTGTCCCCATCCACTCTTTTTCCCAAGAAAGAAGGCTGTGGCAGCAGCCCCAGGCGGCAGAGCGAGCCGGGAATAGCAGCGGGCGCAGGGCCACGGCGCCCTTCCCTGGCTGGGTTCCGCTGCCAGATGGGGAGTTTATGTAACTCCCCGCACGGCTGCTGCCTGCAGCCGGTGCCCACATCCCGCATCCCACCGGGGCCAGCAGCGCTGGACCACGACCCGCCCATCGCCCCATGCATGGTCACAGTGCTCCAGTGCACCCCAATCCCTGGCAGGTCTCCTCAAGCCTCAGAGGGTTCTCAATCCTATTTTTGGAGCAGCGGAGCCACGAGGCATCCGAACTGCCGGTGCCCCACGGGTGGCAGAGACAAGGAGCCGAGCTGGGTGTTGGCTGCTCTCCTTGGCAAACCAACACCCGCCACCTCTGCGTCCCCCGTGTCCCCCGCGGAGCTGGAGGGGTCACACCGACAGGGAAGAGGGGGGAAAGAACCGAATGCGCCCAGTGCCCCCCACCCAGCAGTGAGGACCGCACGGAGGGACCGGCTCACGGCGTAGCCAGCTCGAGGAAGGCTCGAAGGGCTCGGTGACCGCGAGAGCGGGTCCCGCCGTGCCTGCCCAGCCTCCGGTGCAGCGGTAACACCGGCAGAGGGGCTGCCGCCGGAGCCTGCCGGGGGCGGCGTTGCACCAGCCCGGCTGCAAAGCGCTGAGCGCGTCCCCGGAGGGGGCGGCGGTGGGGCGGATAACGGGAAGGGAGGGGGGGGATTCTCGGTTCACCGGAGGAAAATGGGGAGCGTCCCCTCCGCACCGGGGGGCGAGCACGAGTTGGCAAAGTTTGACGGCGATGGAGGCGGGCTGGGGCCACCCGGTACCGAAGGGTGATCGGTGTGCACGGCGGCGATGACCCGGGGTGTCGGCCGGCGCTTACCGTGTGCCGGGGCGCGGAGCAGCGCGGCGAGGAGCGGCAGGAGCAGCGCGGGCGGCGGGCCCATGGCCGGCGGCGGTCAGCACCGCGGACAGCTCCGCTGCGGGCGCGGCGGCGGCGGCGGCGCCCCGAGCGGCGCCCGCCGATACCGGGGACGGCGGAGGGGGGGGAGCCGTAATGCTCCGAGCGCGGCGCACACCAATCCAAGGATCGGGGGGGGGCTCTCCCCGCCTCTCCCTCAGCCCCCCCCCGCCGTAATGCTCCGAGCCAGGCGCACACCCAGTGCTGGGGATTTGGGGAGGGGGGGGGCTCTGCCCGTGTCCCCCTCAAATCCCACCCCCACCCCCCCCGCCGTAATGCTCCGAGCGCGGCGCTCGCCAATCCCAGGAACAGGGTGGCGGGGCGGCCGTAATGCTCCAAGTGAGGCGCTCGCTAATTCCAGGGACGAAAGAGTAGGGGGGGGGCCTCCCCCCACCCACCCCTCGCCGTAATTCTCCGAGCGAGGCGCCCTCCAATCCCTCAGGCTGGGAGGGGGGGCTCCTCCCTGCTACCCCACCCCCACGCCGTAACTCTTCGAGCACAGCGCCCGCTAAAGCTGGAGATGAAGGCTGGGGGAGGGGGACCGCCTAACCCCCCCCTTCCGCTCCGAATCCCAGCAACCCTTCGGGGTGGCAGCCACCGAGGGCTGTGGGAAAGGTGCTCGATGCCCATCTCACCATATCCTATCTCCCCACCCTCCAGAACCCTCACCACAGCCCCTCCACTCTCCTCTTCCCCATCTCTAAATAACTCAAATTAGGGCTGGGCTCATCATCCCCCAAGCAGAGACACCTGGTCCCGGAACAGCACAGAGAGGGGCTGTGGTGGGGGTCCAACAGCCCCTCCCCAGCCCCTTGCCTCGGGGTCCCGGAGGGCAGCCAGCCCTGCAGTGGGCAGATGGTGTTGGCACCGGCACCGAGCAGCTCCATGTTGGCTGATGGACGGCTCTTGCGGGTGTTAAAAATATATAAAAAAAAATCTCTTTGTTTAATAACCCCCTCCCCATCCCTCCAAAAGCCCAGATGGCTTCGCCTCGCCGGATCCCCCGCAGCCCGGCCAGCCCCGCTGCACACACAGCCCACGCAGCCAGCTCCGGTGGGGGTTTAATTTTAATCCCAGGTCCTGCTTTGCCGACATGCATCATTCCTGCCATGGAGAATGGCATGGCTTGGCATGGGGAGCCAAGAGCAGAGCAGCAGCCAGTCCCACGTCATGGGCTGTGTGCCACCAGCCCCGTGGCTCTATCTGTTGTGCCACCAGCCCCGTGGCTGTGGTGGGAGCGGGGCTGGGAGCGATGCCGGGATCCTTCTCGTCCCGGGGGTGCTGCCGGCTCTCCCGCAAAGCACTTTCAGCTCTAAACCCAAAACTTTGATCCGCCGGTAGCACCATCAATGTTTAATGCAGCAAAGCCCTGGTAGGGCTCAGAAGATGAGCATTTTGAGGCCAAATTGAAGTTTCTAATATTATGATATTCAAATAATTTTAATCTGCCTGATGCTTCCCCAGACACGTACCTGGACTGCTAATGAGAGGCTGCCTTCAGCCGCTGTTGCTTTTGACAGAAAACAAACAATTCTTTGCAGGTGCCATCAAAGGATTGGGAATGGAGAGGTCTGAGGAGGAAAATGGGGGCGAGCGTGTGTGGAGCCAACATGTTGTGGCTGGGAGAGAAGGATTTCGTGTTTGTCTCGGCTCCCTGGGGAGCAGCATTGCTCCCTAATTCTTTTTTAAATGTAGGTTTGTGCTTGGTAAAAATTAGTCTGGCACAGATGGATGATGGGATTTTGGGAAACTTCTGTCCCAGTGTACAG